GTGTTTGTGAGAGAGAGTGTGTGTGTGTGTGTGTGTGTGTGTTTTCTATCATCTAATGTTTTGGGTCTACGAACCAGAGGAATGCGAGTACATACATCTCAGTGGAACAGTCATTGATATTGCTTAAAAATTAATATAAAATAATGTGGACTGATAGCTTCAAAAAGTAAATAACTGATAAACAACCTCAGAGTTAGTGTTAAAAGTTAATTCCTCTATGGAGAAAATGAATGGGGTTTTTAATTCCAGCACCAAACTGTTGCATGCTAATGTTCATGAAGAAAATAGTTTACTAACTTTGAATCAATTTAATTCAATAAATGAATTTATTAATTTATTTATTTATTTTAGCGGGAATGTTGTAATAGCCTACTATATGGGGTAAGTTGTCACAATGGGAACCTGCAGTTCTTTAAACTGCTAGATAAAACTCACATTTATGAAACTGGACTTTTGACAGAAAAAAAAACAAAGTCATTGAGATATATTGTGGCAATTTGTGACAACTAGCCCCGGTCTCTCCTACACTGGTGGAATGTCTCGAAAACATTTAACATCAAGCTTTACGCATGATAAATGATTTTCCTACCCATGTCGTCGTTGCGAGTCATTTTGTGTCCGTCGAGACGCGATGAACGGCGACAGATGAGATCTTTACAGCATTTAATGGACTCTGCTGCTTCCGTCAGAACGAGAAACTGGATTCTGAGGACGGCGTGAGAAGCCGCTCTCGAGCCGCTGTCGGTTCTGCGCATGTCTGACAGCGGAACCCATCGGCGTTTAAGAGGCTGCATGCGCGATGAAGCTGAGGAACTCACTGCCCCTCGCTTTAGCCTACATTATTTACGGATCCAAACACAGGTAAAAACAGACACGAAGCTGCAGCCAAACACTGTAAACACTCAAAAGCGGAATACACTCAAACAATGCACGTGAATGAGCCTCCTCAGGGTAATTCATCTCTCTCAAAAGCTGTAATGAAGCTCACCTAACATGACCTCACAATGTGTGAATGAAGTCTAAAGTGGACTTAACTAAGATTTGCAGTACAAATATTGTTGTTTTCACTAAATACATTTAATTGAAATGGCTAAAAACATCAATACACTGTAGCATGAGGAAAACTAGAAGTCAGACACCATTAAACTCGCTTCATTCTCACCCAACACTTCACAGTGCAACAGAATCAGCTCTTATGTAATCTGTTTGTATTCACCAGGAGAGAATTGGCTTATT